CATTTCGCCACCCCCCATGGGGCTGAGCATTCTGAACAGTGAATACGTACGTATGGGAGGGGGGGGGGTAGAGTAGATCTTTGCCGAAAAAAAAAAACAACAAAACGGACACCATTTTGCCACCCCCCATGGGGTTGAGCATTCTGAATACATACGTAAGGGGGGGGGTTGAGTCGATCTTTGCATAAAAAAAATTGAAAAAAAAAATGAACAGCATTGGAACGATACAGAGAAGATTAGCACGGCCCCTGCGCAAAGATGACGTGCATATACTGAGAAGATCAACATAGCCCCTGCGCAAGGATATCATAACAGTGATGACACGCATCGATCGAGAAATGGTTAAATTTTAATGGATGTCCTTCGGGACATCCATTAACATCGGAACGATACAGAGAAAGAAGATTAGCACGACCCCTGCGCAAGGACGACACACATAAATCGACAAATGGTCCAAATTTTTAAAGGAACAAAAAGAAAAAAGAAACCAAAAAGGAGGAGGAGGAGGAGGAGGGGGAGTAGACGTGGTTGCAGACAAGGAGAGGAGGGAGAGAACGACAAAGGAGAGTGGAGTGGACGACGATGAGGAGGAGGAGTAGTAGACGGAGACAAAAAAGGACGATGGGGAGGAGGGGGGGAGGACGACAACGGGGAGGAGGACGACGATGGGGAGGAGGGGAGGAGGAGGACGACGGCGGCGGGAAAATAGGGCGCAGTTGATGAGGGGGAGGACGAGGTGGAGCAGGAGGAGGTAGAGGAGGAGGAGGAGGGGGAGGATGAAGAGGTGGAGGAGGAGGAGGAGGAAGAAGCACGTGTGTGCGTGTGTGGAGGAGGAGGACGACAACCACGAGGAAGAGTGGGTGTGTAGGAGGAGGAGGACGACGACCATGAGGAAGGATCATGTCACGCATAAATCGAGAAATGATCCAAAATTTTAAAGGGCAAAAAAAAAAAAAAAGGAGGAGGAGGAGGAGAGGGAGTACACGTGGTGGCAGAGAAGGAGAGGAGGGGGACAACAACAAAGGAGAGTGGAGTGGACGAGGAGGAGGAGGAGTAGACGGAGACAGAAAAGGACGACGGGGAGGAGGGGAGAAGAACGACGACGGGGAGGAGGGAAGAGGGAGGAGGGGAGGAGGCCGACGACGGGGAGGAGGGGAGGAGGAAGACGACGGGGAGGAGGGGAGGGGGACTACGACGGGGAGGAGGGGAGGAGGACGACGATGGGGAGAAGGGGAGGAGGATGACGACGGGGAGGAGGGGAGGAGGACGACGACGACGACGGGAAAGTAGGGCGCAATTGACGAGGGGGAGGACGAGGTGGAGGAGGAGGAGGTGGAGGAGGAGGAGGAG